CTCTACCGGACGCCTCTCAGGCCCTTCAACCCAGCCTCTACCCGGCTCTGGCAAGTGGTACAAAGCTCTTGAGTTCCACCCCTCAGTGCCCACCCCTCTGCCAGGAAGCCCAGCCCACAGGTGCTCGGCTCTCCCTGCCTGGTTCTGCTGCACGGGCTCTCTGCCCATGTTGTGCCATGTCTCCTGGGTCTGGGGACCTCTCACAAAGGACACACTCCACATCTTGCTCTTCTTTCACTTTGGGGATGGGTGGGTAGGAGTATGGAGTTAGGGTTAGGACTATGGCTAGGTCTGGACAAGGCCTTGGATCAGGCGCACCTTAGCCCTCAACCTGACAACTTTGCTCTTCAACACTTTAGAAAGGTGTTGACCCAAGCCATGGTATTTTCAGTAACCTCATATGCATGCGAAAGCTGGACAATGAAAATAAGGCAGACCATAGAAGAATTGATGCTTTTGAGGTACGGCATTGGAGGAGATTATTGAAAGTGCCATGGGCTGCCAAAAGTTCCAATAGATCCATTCTGGAAGAAGTGCAGCCAGAGTGCTCCTTGGAGGCCAAGAAGGCCAAACTTTGTCTCTCATACTTCAGATATATTGTCAGGAGGGACCATTTGCTGTAGGACATCATGTTTGGTAAGGTGGAGGGTCAGAGAAAAAGAGCAAGACCCCCAAATGAGATGGATTGGCCAAGTGGCAGCATCGATGAACTCAAGCGTGGCAACAGTAGTGAGGTTGGCCCAGAATCGGGCAGTGTTTCGTTCTGCTGTGCATAAGGTCACTATGAGTCGGTACTGACTCGATGGCACCTAACAACAACAACAAAGACAGGCCTAGGGCATCATTTAGTGTTCAGGTGATGGGACTCCTGGTGTGGCACTGAAGGTTCAGCATTGGACTGTGAGCTATAAGGTTGGCAGTTCAAACCCACCAGCTACTTCTTGGAAACCCTATAGAGGGTCGGTCGCTATGGCAGTTACAAACAACAACAAAGTTAATGTTAAGGACAGAGGTGGGTTAGGCTAGGGCTAGGGGGCTAGGGGTAAGAGGCTTGGTCTAGTTTTAGGGTTACAGTTTTTTTCTTAAAATCTATTGATTTTCCCTTCATTTGGAAGTTCTGTAATTATATTTTAAATATAATTTTTGTAATATATTACTAATTTTTTCTTAATTCCCTTTTTTTTTGAATCCGTCTAACTCCGAGTTGAATTCTGGGTGACACTGTCATGTATGTATGTTGTCTGCTGTTGTCGGTCTTCTGTCCAAAGAACTCCCTCTAGTATTTTTGGTAAGGTTGGTCATTTTTTTACAATTCTTTTAAACTTCTGTTTATCTGGAAATTCCCAATTTTGCCATCATATTTGATGGACAATTTTGCTGGGAATATGATTCTTGGTTTGCAATTTTTTTCTTTCAGAGTTTTATATATGTCATCCCATCGTCGTCTTTTTTTCTTAAGTTTTTATTGTGAATTGAGTGATTGTTTACATGGGAGAATATCAGTGTACACCGCTTTATTGCAATGATTACAGTCTCCTCCATGCATCATCATTCAACAGTATCTGCTTCTAGTCCATTTTTTTGGGGGGGTGGGCAGGGAGATGTACACAAAATCACTCAGGAATATATAATCATTTAAACAACCAAAGGGCACATTCTGTAAGCCTGCCTTCTGGCTGCCAGCACCCAGTGCCTCTCTTTCCAGGAGTCCAGAGTCCTCAGCTGCTCTGGTGTGGCTACTTCTCTGGATAGGGTACCGCATTCCGCTAGTGCTCTTCTCCTTTGATGGTCCTGGGGTCCTCTGTTTCTGGACTGTATAATGAACCCATTGTCTTCTTGCCTGCATGTTTTCTGCTGAGAAATCGCAGCGGAGTCTTGTTAGTTCTCCCTTGTTGGTAACGTTTCGCTTTTTTCCTGTGCTGGGGCTTTTACGAGTTTTTCCTTGTCTTTGGTTTTGAGAAGCAGGATTCTGGTGTGTCTTGGTGATTTTCTTTTGGTGGCTGTACCGTTCGGAGTTCATTTAACTTCTTGAATCTTCTCATTTTTCATGATGTTAGGTAAGTTTTTGTCCAGAAATTCTTGGACAATTTTCTCTATGGTTTTGTCTCTTCCTGTTCTGGAATTCTCATCACATGTACGTTATCCCTCTTGTTGTTGTTAGGTGCCATCGAGTCCGGATTGACTCATGACAACCTACACACAGAACAAAACACTGCCAGATCCCTCACCAACCTCACAACTATTGCTATGCTTGCCCATTGCTGCTGCCACTGTGCCAATCCACCTCGCTGGGGGTCTTCCTCCTTTGTGCTGATCCTCCTCTTGTCGAGCATGATGTTCTTCTCCAGGGACTGGTCCCTCCTGATAATATGTCCAAAGCATGAGAGACGAAGTCTGGCCATCCTAGGGAACATTCTGGCTGCACTCCTTCCAACATAGATTTGTCTGCTCTTCTGGCAGTCCATGGTATTTTTAATATTCTCCTCCAACACCGGAACTCCAATGTATCAATTCTTCTACAGTCTTCTTTATTCACTGTTGAACTTTCACATGCATATGAGGTTACTGAAAATACCATGGCTTGGGTCAAGCGCACCTTAGTCCTCAAACTTTGACATCTTTGCTCTTGAACACTTTTAATAGGTCTTGTGCAACAGATTTGCCTAATGTGTCATTTGATTTCTTGACTGCTGCTTCCGTGAGTGTTGATGGTGGATCTGAGCAAAATGAAGTCTTTGACAACTTCAATCTTTTCTCCATTTATGTTTATTGGTCCAGTGGTGAGGATTTTTGTTTTCTTTACAGTGAGGTAAAATGAGCTTGAATCAATGAGCTTGAATACAAATCTCTCAATATACATCTTTGAGAGGAACAATCAGAAAAAAGAATTTTTTTAAAAACCCTGGAAAACCTTAAGTTTTGTGGGACACTTTATCTGTGTTGTATTGACTACGCAAAGGTAAAATACTTACTGATGACAATCAAAGACCACAGCAACTCAGACCAAGGGCTGTGGTCTTTAATCTTCATGAGTAAGTATTTTAAGTCCTCTTTGCTTTCAGAAGCAAGGTTGTCACGCATATTGCAGGTTATTGATGAATCTCCCTCCAATCCTGATGCCATGTTCTTCTTAATAGAATCCAGTCTCTCGAATTATTTGCTAAACATACAGATTGTGTACGTACAATGAAAGAATACAACAGTGGCATACACCTTTCCTGATCTTAAATCAATCGGTGCTCACTTCTTCTGTTCAAACAACTGCCTCTTGGTCTACGTACAGGTTTCTCAGGAGCACAATGAAGTGTTCCAGAATACTCATTCTCTGCAGTGTTGTCCATAGCTTGTCATGATCCACACAGTTGAAAGCCTTTGTGTAGTCAATAAAACACAGGTAAATAGTGTCCCACATAAATCTTATGACTTTCTTACGATTTTTAAATTCAAGGCAGGCGCAGAGCAGAACCTGGACGCTGGAGCAGGGACGGCAGTAGGGTGATCAAGGCCTGGGCAGGCGTGGTGTAGACCCCGCGGCACAGAGAACAGGAGCCGGGGAGACAGGAACAACGTGCAGGGCTCACTGGTGGGCCTCCTGTTTTCAGGCACACTTGGCGGGCAGGCCCAGCAGGCAGACACACAGTAGAACAGGCCATTGGCTCAGGTTCAAAGAACTAGAGGTTGGAGGACAACTTACACCCGGGATCCACATTAAGGGAAAATTCTTTCCAGTATATCTATTACATTGGGAGCAAGCCACGCCCCCAAGAAAGCGTCCTTTCAGTTGATTGGCTGCTCATAACCAATCATCATAGAGTTAAAGATCCACTGCCGAACATCGAACATCTGAGGACACCGACAGCAGTCACGTTGACACAGAACCTAACAATCACAAGATGGTTTCCAGTGTTGCACTTGTCCTTGTGTTATTTCCCTGAATCCTTCCTTGGTTTTGTCAATCTCTCTCTCAATTCGTTGAAGAGACCTAGATAATATTCTTTAAAATTCCTCATCAAGTAGTTCTGATTCCATGTCTGATGTTTTATTTTCTGACTCTGTATTTTGATCACTTGTTTGAGGCACTGTCTTGTTGCTTCGTGTAAGCTGAAACGGTTTTCTCTGCAGCACTGTGTTGTCATCGGTCGTATTTATATCCGACTGACGGGAGCTTCGGTATTCCTAAGCGCTCACCACCTGTCTCCTGGTGGATGTGACTGAGACCACAGGGAAGTCTGACCCATTTCTCCGCTTTCTGTAAGGGGCCCCCTTTCCCAGCTCGGAGATGGCTCAGTTAAGCCTAGAAAGATGGCAAAGCTGACCAATCTCCTCATTCGGATTCCATACACCTGATTGGCATGGTCCCACCCCCACAAGGGTGCCGTGTACCTCATTAGTATTTTATCAAGCTGTCCAATCTTGCAACTCCCAAGCTGGTAGAAGTTACAAGACTGTGGCAAGAAAGGTCACCTAAGACCTAGCCATCGCATGGCAGGGGCCACGGTTTCAGAACTTGAAAACCAGAAAATCAGTGTCACTGAGTTCTGTGTGTAACGATGCTGAATGCTGTCTATATTTTCACACACCACACACGAGAAACATACAACCTCGCCTCTGTGCCCGAAAATAACACCAAGGCACCAATAGGAAAAAGGGCAATAGTTTATTACAGAAAAATCACCTCTGAGAGACTCTACTGAAATTAGTGTGTCTGCTGGGAGCACTTTGGGTCGACACATGCCTTCTTTCAAATAACAAACGGCTTCCACCGTACACTCTCGGGGTGGACAAGAAGCGTCCGAGAAGCAGCTCACTCACACCCCACCTCCCAGTGAGCGCCGGTCTCTTGTAAACACTGTCAGGTGCTAAATGCCATGGGAGACAAGTGCCATGGGAGGTTGTTAAGCAGGAGGATTAAAAAGTGGGAACAGGTGTCCCGCCTCCAACAGTCCAGTCCTCGCGAGGACTCCCCGCAGCACACCGGCCGGGGCCCCCGCTAGGCGGCGCTACGTGCGGTTTAGGGTCTGGAAGATCCTGGAGATCTGCAGCAGGACCGGCCCAGTCTCGGGGTCATTCATCCACTGCGTGCTATTGAGCGGGTTTTCCAGCATGTCCTCAAAGGCTGTGGGGACAGAGCAGGGCACACTGAGGGTGGCTCTCCACCCTTCCGATAACTCAGCACGCACGCACGCTGCCCAATAAGAATGCAGCTCGGCGCACCCTGCCTTGGGGACCGGAGTCACTGCTCAGAGCGAGCGACCACTCCACACCACCAGTCTCCTCCTGAGACCAGACGGAGCTGGAATCACACAGGGTGCCTCTGAGATGGGGGTTATGAGACCCTATTTCCTCCCAAGGATGAGGAGTGAGGTCTGCGTCCGCGGAAGGACTTTTTTTGCGCGAGTCACAAACGTGTCTCTGTAAAGTTGCCTCGTGGAGAATCCCCATCAGCCCCAGGCCGATTCCATGAGGCGGATGGGGATCAGACGTGCCTCCTGCTCCCGTGTCCCCCCACCAGCTCTGACGCCATTTCTCTCTCTCCACGCCCTCTGGAGCCGCCTTGCTCCAGGGACCCGCTGCACAGCTGCCCTCGGCTTCCAGCTGCTATTTCTCAGCATCTCTGGAATCACAACTCGGTCTCCTCAGCCTAGGAGGTCCTCAGTGTGGACCTGGGTCCAAAGGGCAGACTTTACTCCTGGTTCTTCCTTTAGGGTGCTCTGAGGTTCCCCCTCTGCTCTGGGATTGGCTCAGCCTAGTGGGATAGGGTTCCATACACCTTATCTGCATGGTCACCACACACTTGGCCTGCAAAGTTAGAGTGGATCTTACACATCTTATTTGCATAGTCTCATTCCTGGTACGGTGCTGTAGGATCAGCAATGGACAGAAAACAAGGTCAGCAGGTTCAAACCCACCAGCTGCTCCCTGGAAATCCTACATAAGGTCGCTATGAGTCAGAACCACCTCAACGGCACTTAACAACCACAACCACCCAGTCAATGTATGGGTGATCCAGACAACAGAAAAGAGGTTGTGTGGACACGAACCCTCACCATTGAACATATGCACTGACTGCCCGTCCCCCTCCCCTGCTTGTGTGGCTGGGGGTCTCCCAGGTCATCTCAACTCACACTGCCCTCACATAGTGGAGGAAAGCCGCCCCACAGGGCTCGCTAGGCTGTCATCTGCGGGTGTAGATCACCAGACAGTCCCCTGGGGGGGGGGCCCAGAGTGACCGAGGACCGACTGCCTACCAACACCCACTGCAGCCCTGTGCACAGGAGTCAGCAGGTGGAAATCCCCAAAATGTCCATCAACCGCTGAACACATATAGAGTGGTCTCTCCAGACAACAGCCAGAGATTCAGGATGAACGACCATGAATGCTGCACATGGGCAACACTGGGAAGGTCAGGGCCCGGTCTCACTCAGCTGGCACCGCACGCACGCACGCACGCACAACCGGCACCGACCGCACGCAGACACACACACACACACACACACAGCTGGCACCGACCACACGCAGACACACACAAGCACACGCGCGCACACACATGGCTCCCTCGTGGTCATCAGGAGCCTGTGGGGCAACAGCTGAGAACCTCAAGGTTGGCAGTTCAAACTCACCCAGGGCTCTCTGCTCAAGCACAGCTGGCAATGTGCTCCTATCAAGATGACAGGCTAGAGCCCCCTGTGAGGCAGTTCTGCTCTGTCTGGGAAACCCCCAACCACCAACACAGTGGGAGGGGACCGGCCAGGGAGCTTTTTAAAGCCCTCTGTATACACACTTCACAGTATAAACGAATAAATACCAGAGTCCCAGGAAGCCACTCAGAGTGAAGGCCAGGTGCCATCCATCTCTTCCAGCCTGGCCCCCCACCCCTAGTGCTGGTGTTTTCCCGGAGCAGGACCACAGCCCTGGAGGCACACGGGCTCATACCAAGCAGCGTCTTAGGGTTGCTCAACCCCAGCTGCACCACTGGGTTGTCCAGGATGGCTTGGAAGAGGGGGCTGTTGGGGTCCATGCCCTTGTCCAGCTCCTCGGGGGAGGGCTTCCGGTCTCCCAGCAACCACTCGCACTGTGAAGACAAGAGCATCCCAGTGGTCACCAGGGCCTACGGGGCCCAGCCTGTGAACACAGGCACTCCAGGCCCAGACCCTCGGGCTGTGCTCGGCTGAGCTGGCTCCTCAGAGCACCTGGCAGCGCCCCCCGCAAGGCACTGTGACTCCTCCGGTCCCACCAAGGCCCAGCTGAAGAAGCGTGTGGGACCGTCACAGGTGTCCAGGTCTGTTCCAGGGGGAGGTTCAGGGGTTTGGGCAGCATGGAAGTGCCAAGACACACTCAGCATCTGAGCCACGGCCTCCGTCCTCCCTGAACCTCCAGAAGCCAGTGCACGCGTGGGGACCACGAGCCAAGAAATGCAGGTGTAAACAGACTCCACACACATACACACACACGGGGCACATGCACCGGCCCCCAGCCCAGGCCCCGGAACTCACGGCATCATTCTGCTGATTGTTATTAACGCGGAGAGCGTCCATCACCTCCTTCTCGTCAAAGCCCATCTCCATCAGGGAGATGACAGCCTGCCAAGAACCGCACAGCCCGTCAGGCTTCCCGCATGAATACAGGGAGGGCCCCTAAAACCCAGAGCGCTGGGGCTCGGCCTGAGTATCCCCAGAAAGAACACCCTGCCCAGTCCCAACCCCAATTATATGGAGAAAAGTGTCTTCAGGAACCACATGAACGCTTAGTCCAAGGGCTTTGCTCTCCAAGAATAAGTGAAGGTCACACACAGCCAAACATACGTGGGAAAACAAAGGGGGATACTTTCTAGAAACTGAAATTACTTTAAAAAATCCAACAGTGAGCACAGCTGAGGCCTAACCCTCCCTAGTTCTCCACGAACGAGGACTGTAGTCAGGACGGGGGAGGGAGCAGGTTCAGGACAACGAGAAAGGTCCGAGCTCTGACCAGCTGGGTGGTCTCTCTCTCTCAAAGATGAGCTAGAAGGTTCGCCGCTTACTAGCGGCTTCTTTGAGGAAGGTCCATTTTCTCGTCCCTGAGCCATGCAGGGACTGAATGGCTTCAGGAGCCCTGACCTGTGTGGGCACACGCTCACCTGCATCTACAGGTGAGAACCGGCGGCCAGCAGCAGGTAGCGGACCTCCACGGCTCAGACAGTGGAACAGAAAGAGCTGTCTACACAGGGCCACCGAGTCACCACTATAGCCCCCGGGACCGCCACTCTCTCTCCTCCTTCACTCCTTCCCGAGGCCCTCCCAGGGGAAGGGGGAATGGCTGTGTGGCTCCCCACCGAGCAGTGGACTCAGACCAGTCTAGGGCCCAGGGAGGAGCGGGTGGCCATGCCCTGCAAAGCCCTGGTGCAGAGACGCAGTGACTACAGAAAAGGAGGAACTAAGACCCAGTTAGGGAACAAGCAGAAGCCACCTGTGGGACCCCAAATGGGGTCAACCAGCTATGACCCACCACAACCACACGGGGGTCAGAGGAGAAGAGGCTGCATAAGGTCTTCAGTGGTTTGCCAGGCCTTTCTTATGAGGTACTTCTGAGCAGATTTGAGCCTCCAACTTTGCACTTAGCTGTTGAAGCCACCCACAGGCTCCAAAGAAAGAATGGGGAACTGTCAGCACACCTGCCACCAGGTAACAGAGCTGAGGGGTGGGGGACACACTCACACTACCCTCAGCTGGCCGCCGCCTCCAAGAAGCCAGACCTCAAGTCCTTAGCTGCCACGGGTAATGGGGTAGGCACCCTCTGTCTAGTCTCTGCCCGACCCGGTCCCCGAGGAAACAGCAGAGACTGTGAGACGGAGCAGGAGGGAGAAGCGCTGGGGTTCCCACCCGATCACAGAGCATCCACAAAAAAGGAAAAGTCACAACTCAGCAACACGTACCCGCGCGTCGGCCCGGAACTCCCTTTTCCTCCGAATCTTTTTGAAGACCTCCGTGAGCTCGTCTCTGGGCTCCTCGTCTCCAGCACTTGTCCCAGCAGGCTCGGCGACGGAGGCGGAGGTGCTTGGCGAGGCCCGCCCTGGAAGAGGCGTGTCTATGGCGGGATCCTCGGCATGCTCGATCAGCCACTCCATGGCCTGGGTCACCGACATGCTGCCAGGCAACGAGAGGCTCTGCAGCTACCGCCCTGGCAGTGCGGGGTGCTGGACACACTCCTGCAGTGCCCAGGCTGAACTTGGGGTTCCTATAGGGTGGCCGCTGCAGGAGGGATGACCTGCACGTATGGGAGTGTCGCGTTCCCTGGCCTGGAAACCCTGACATGCAGGTGAGCTAGCTCTGTGTGCACCGAGGGCCCTTCTTCAAACCTCCCTCCTAACGGAGCTCTGAGGGCACCCCACAGACAGCGCCCACAGCCTCCCCTGGACGGACGGACGGACCGACGGCACCCATAACCTTCGGGAGGGGGGGAGCCCGAACTTACTGGTTCAGTCTCAAGGCCTTCACTGCCCTGCTCTCGGGGAAGCCCATCTCCGTGAGCTGCCGCAGCGCCGCCTCATCCACTCGCTCCTCCTGGTCCTCGTCCAGCATGGCTGGGGGCAAGAGAACACACGATGCCTGGGGACGCACGCTGGGAGCCAGGCGGGCTGCCCTGCCTGCTACGGGCAGTGACAGGAACCTCTGAGGCAGTGTGGGAAACGCAGGGGACCAATCCAGAGTCTCCTGGGGAGGGCAGAGCCTGGCCAGGGGTCAGGGGTGTCAGCGTACCATTGGCCTTCTTAAACAACTCAACAGCATCGGGGTTCAACGCCAGCAGCTTCTGGGCCACCTCAATAAGCGACACCAAGATCTTGCGGAGTTCTGTCTGGAACTGCAGCAAAAACAAGACAGGCAGGAGCTGGTGGCTGCTCCGCTCCAAGATCTGAGGGCAGCCTGCTGGTCTGACGGCCCTGGGGCCTCCACCAACCCACCAGAGAGCAGCACCCGGGGCTGAGCGCTGAGATGGGGCAAGCACGGAATCGCTTTTCCGTAGGCTTTCCTGCACTGGTCTTGTGCCTCCTAGAACGTGACTGGGTGGTTCTATGCAAAGGAGGTCCTGGTGGGGGCCAGGCAGCTTGTAAGTGACCCACAGAGCACTTTACTCAAGGAGGAAACAGCTGGCCACAGCTGAAGGAGGAGGCGCAGACCCTCCTAGCAGGCAGTATCAGCCACCACACAGCCCCCAGCTCCATGGGGGAGATGGGGGTGCAGAGAGCTCTCCTGCTTCCTCCCAGGACTGCCCACAGCATGGCTACACAGGGCAGATCCCTCTCCAGGGACCCTGATACACACAGCTGGTGTCTGGAAGTCTCAAAAGGCCCGAGGGGGGATGCTCTGGAGACAGGCCGGTGTGCAACACGCTGGGGGCGATGGAGGCAGTGGTCCCACCCACTAGGGTGTGTCCAACACTCAGCCCATCCTCCCACCCACCGGCCCATCCTGGGATCCCCCAGAGGACTTTGCCTAGTTAGCTGAGAAGAGTCTGTCCCAATGGAGGGACAGGTCAGACGGCTACACCAAAGATGTCGTTTACCAGACTCATGACAAGACGCCACCATTTCCCACAAACATCTACCCTCTCATCCCTGCACTCAGTGGTTCTGGTAGTTTTTTGACTTTTTCTTCTGAAATCACTGTCAATTCACAGAACAACAGACACGTGCCCTCTGCTGGGCCCTGGCAGCCTGGTCAGTGTGGACAGTGCCCAAGAGCCGAGCACTCACGTCTCGCATGTTGGTCTGCACCACGGCGCGGTCCATGTTGTGGGTGGGCAGGTTCTTCGTTGCTTGGGATATGGCATCTTTGTCTGGGGCTTTCTGGTCTTCTGTTTTCTACATAGAAAGGAATCAGGAAGTCAGAAGTGACCCTAAGATACGTAACACCGACACGTGAGAACTCTGTGGGACAAACTGGGGGCCCCACCACGGTAATGACACACCAAGAGGAAAATGCACGGAGGCGAGGAGACACTGTCGAGGTGGTGCTGACAGGCCGCTCTCCCCCCAGAATGGCCTCCAGACCCGGGAACTGAGATGCTCCCGAGTGTCCTTCTGGGCAGTAGGCTGTGGTCGTTAGGCGTTAACAGCGTTCACAGGAGCAGTAGGCCTGGCAGACTGTCGGTTAATTTGGTGAATGTAGGCACATCTTCCGAGGGGCTTGTCAATCCTACGAAAGGACTGGGAAATCTGGAGTGGACTCTATGATAAGCCTACAGGAAACTAAGCAACAACTCAACAATAAGGCGGTTAATTCCAGGGTCAAACAAAGCCACACGACCCACGCCTCACATGTGGTAGGTGAACAGTGAATACGGAAGACCACAGAAGAACTGATGCATCTGAGTTACGGTGTTGGAGGAAAACGTTACAAGTCCCATGGACTGTCAAAAGAACCAACAGATCAGTGTTGGAAGAAGTGCAACCAGAGTGCTCCTGGGAGGCCAGGATGGCCAGACTTCATCCCTCACACTGTGGACATGTTGTCAGGAGGGACCAGTCCTTGGAGAAGGACATCATGCTTGGTAAAGTGGAGGGTCAGTGAGAGAGGAAGACCCCAATGAGATGGACTGGCTCAGTGGTAGCAGCAACATTTGTGAGGATGGTCCAGGCCCGGGCAGGGTTTCCTTCTGTTGTGTCCAGGGTCACTCCGAGTGGGAACCATGGCCCCAACAGCACCCCCGACCACCACATAATAAAGAACAAGCTGAGGTTGTTGAGTCTGTTACGACTCATGGTAACCCTCGGTGCAGAGTTTCCACGGCTAGACAGCTTCCCCCGTGGCTTCCAATCACCAGCCTTTCGGTGAGTAACCGAATGTATTAACCAGTGTGCCACCAGGACTCCAAACAAACAGTAAACAAACCCACTGCTGTCAGTCTATTAGTGTCCCTGCCCATCTCTGACTGTCCCGTCCTTCTCTGCAGAGCCCCTGGCGGGTCAGCAGCCCTCTGGATTCACGGCTCACAGCAGGGCACCTTACATATATCACAACTGGCGGAAGCACTGAGTGCTCCGTGGAAGGACCCAAGGAGGGGAGACGGGGAGAGCAGACGGCTGCATCCACACCACCAAAGAGGCGGCCTCCGAGTCTAAACCCGCACCTCAGAAACAGCAGCGTTCACACACGGAGCCGAGGGAGCGGGCTCAGGGGGGGCAGCAGGCTGAGGCTCAGCAAACATAAAGCCTCATGTTATTTCTAGTTTGAAAACGAAGACTAAGGACCGCACACACAAGAACAGACTGACCACACAGAAGGTCTCACTCTGCAGACCCCTGAAGAGGAACGCGACAGCCTGTGTCCCCCCAACCTTCCGCATCCAGTTAGGAAGCCCACGGTCACACTGTAACCTGAGACCTGCCCGTCCGCCCCCAGTTCTCAGAAACTGCCTGACTCAGGCCTGGGAGGCAGGCCCAGATCTGCTTCTGGAGAGCGGGGTGGGATAGCATGCCCATGTGCGTGCCCACACCCTGGCCAGGTGTGGCTGCCGATAAGGGCAACTGAAACCCAAAGGCACGCCTGCACCGCACGGCCTGTCCTGGATAAGCCCCTAGAGCCCCGAGGGGACTGCTCTCGGAGCCAAGGGAAACAGCTGCTGGCCAGTCACCTGACACGCATCCAACAACACTTCTGGTACCGGGCACGTGCCTGAGGGTCAGGTCAGAGCACACGTGTGTCTTAGCCTGTGTGAGGGGGCTTCTCCGGTTCAGAGACCTCACCTCACCTGTGTGTGTGGACATCACAAACTAAGCTCACTGAAGACTGAGCTTTGGGGACAGTACTCAACAACAGACAGACAGACACCCACTGCCGTGGGGTGGATTCCGGCTCCTCAGAGGCTCTCCACAGCAGCCAGTGTTTATGAAGCAGACTGCCTCGTCTTTCTCTAGAGCACAGACTGCAGTCAAGCGCTTAACCACTGTGCCACTAAGGAAAGAAGTTCAGGAGACCTGCTGATTATTATTGGATCCAGGACACAAACTCCCAGGGAACCCATCTCTGTCACCGCAAAGAGACAGGCTGGGAACGGCTGCTGTGCTGAGCCCCTCACCCCCAGCTTCGGTGACTTCATGACAACTTTCTCTCAGAGAGATCCAATGCTTATGGAACAGAATAACAAAAAACAAAATCTACAGCCTTCAGGTCAATTGTGACTCATAGTGACCCCGTGGCTTTCCAAGACTGCCCTTCCTTATGGGAGCAGATAGCCTCATGGTTCTCCCTCGGAGCGGTTGGTGAGTTTGAACCCCCGACTTTGTGGTTAGCGGTTCAATGTTTAACGCACTGGAGTCTGTCAGCTGCCCCACAGCACACAGAGCCCAGAACCCAGTGTGAGTGGGCGCCGGCCACATGACCAGGATCCAGTCACGAGACTCGACCACCGCGCTGTGGTTCTGCTTCAGGAGTGAAAAGGCCATCACTTTTCAAGAGTCCCCTCAAGAAGATGTCCACCCTCCGATCTGAAAACTCACCTTTTCTTCCACATCAGCCATCTTGGACTGTGGCTCCAGGGTCCGCTTTTTTATCAACAATAACACATCTAGGAAAAGGAGAGTTGTGTTGGTCAAGCCGGCTACAGTTTCCAAGAGGTGACTGGGGACAAGACAGGGGAGTTCCCTTGGGGACCAAGCACAATCCCTCCTACTCTCCACTCCTGAATCCAACACTACCTGGGGCACATATCCTACCAGCCGTGCAGAGACCAGGGGGTGGGTTCAAACAGGCCATGTTTTCATGGGCTTGGCTCTGAGAATCTATAAGGGGTACCTGGTCATCATCCTGACCTACAGACCGTGACTCAAAGCCACGTCATGCACAACAGGACAGAAGGCAGCCTGGTCTACGCTGTCCCCATGAACGGCTGTGACCTAGAGGCTTGGCAAAGGCTGAATTTGTCAGTAGATCACCAGTCTCTTCTTCCTAGTCTGTCTTCAGTCCAGAAGCTCTGCTGACCCCCTAGCCGCAGGCCAGCTTCCAGGTGGTTGGGGGGACCTGGCTGGAAGCCAAACACCAGCATGGGGTCCTTTCCCTTGCCGGGTTCAGCTGCCGTCTGTTAACGCTACTCCTAGGGGTCTCAGATGGTAAAAGGGGGCCCAGGATCTGGACTAAACACATCATGTGAACAAGACGACCCGCACGGAGACCTGTTCCCCGAGGGCCCATAGACACACAGCAGTGAAGAACCCCTAATTCTGCTTTGAGCAGAACTAAAGATATTTAGCTCCGCCGATGTCTACTGTTTTTCACAAACTTCCCACAATGCAAACTTTTTTTTTTTAATAAAGAAAAAAACATTCTCGGATGAACTGGTTTACTTGCTCAAATCTAACCCAGCACTGAGGGCTTTACTTCCGGAGCCCACGGCAGCCCTGTGCCCACGCGGCTACACCTCACCTTTATCTTGAATGTTCTCTTCCAAGATCGTTTTGGTATCGTTCAGAACCCTCTGTGAAGCAGCGTGCATTAATTTGTGATGTGTTACGCTCTTGGAGTCTTCAAGGCTCCCATGTGAACACTGGGGAAAGAAAGAACAAATACATTTCAAGATGAATCCATCCTAATACTCATCATTATTGTTGTTGGTAGGGGCCATCAAGCTGATACCAACTCATAGCGACCCTATGCCCAACCTCACAATTGCTGCCACTTGGCCAATCCATCTCACTGGGGGTCTTCCTCTATTTCTTTGACCCTCCACCTTACCAAACATGACAGCAACCTTCCTAAGAGTCCCTGAAAGCCACACAAGAAGTTGACCAGCTTCCCTTCATGAAGTCCTGGCTGTCAGCGGGGAAAGCAGAGAGAAGCCCCCACACCCACCCCTCTAGGCACAGGGGCCCCCGGCACTCCTCCTGTCAACGAGCAGCTTCAAGGACCTTTCCCTCCTTTCCTCGGATGTCTGGGTAAAAACAGCGCCTCACTGTTTCCAGGACACGTACACTTGCATCTCTCTTCCAGGAACCACACAGGCAGATGGAAAGAGAGCCAGGACAGGAGCTGGTGAACAGAGAACGAGACCGAGACCACAGGAGCCCACCACAGAGCCTCTCGGAACACGTGTCTCGCTCTCCAGGGCCCATGGCACCAGGACGGGGAGGGTAGGGTGTGGAAGGCATTACAGGGGCAGCAGCGAGCAGGACAGGCAAACAGGCTGCAGACAAACACGCTTGGCAGCCTTCCCAGAACCCTATGGACGCTCTCAGAAGGCCTCAGGACAGACTTCAAACTCCAGGTGAAAGTGGGAACTCACAGCTGGGAAGATCCCCTCCGATCCTGTAGCTAGCTGGTGTCATTCCAGACTGAACTGCGCCCCGGAATACGTGTACTAACTGCTAACCTCGTGTGTGGTTCGGACCCACGTGGGACGGGTATCTGGGCTGTTAGTGGGCAGGAGTCCTGTTGGGTCTTGTCCCCAGTCAACCTCTTTTGAGATATGAGTAAGATTACTCTTTCATGACCCAATTATTTTCTTCCTTGAATGTTTGTTGGCACCGTGTGTTTTCATTAATGCAAAGCACGTTGAGTCAAGGTGTAGTTCTGAAATTTCATTACGAAATAGGATTTGGGTACGTATTACGTGGGACACATATTTCCCTCTGGGCTGTGGGGGTAAACTTAGTGGGGGCACATGTCCCTCTGGACTCTGCCTCCTTCTAGATTCCTTGGTAGGTGCATCCAATTTCAGGGATCTGAAAAAACAGTGTTCATAATTACATGGAATCATTATAAAAAAGGAGACACGCAAATAATATACCAAAAGTTGGAGACCACATAGACCCGCTGCTCCTGAGTGGACTGCAATTCTCGGGGACCCCCCACAGGGTCCTGTCAATCTTTCCCGGAGCAGTCAGCCTCATCTTTCTTCCGCAGAACGGCTGGCGGGTTTGAACTCCCAACCTTGCTGTTAGCACCGCCAGGGTTCACAGGAACCCAGAAAACGCCCAGAGACAAAAGTGTTGCAAAATCGCACCTCCAGGATGCATCACCCCATAGAGCACCCAGTAAAAACAGCTATCTGCGCGCACCCCGTTTCTCCCATCTCACAGTTATACAGCACCCCGCCCCCCAAGCTGCGTGCACTGTCAGTGGAGAAGTCGCTACCCAACAAACCCCAGAGGAAAACACAGGAGGGCAGTGTGTGCCCCGCGGGTCACCATAGGGTTTTAAAAAGCCACATGAAGATCGCTCGGGGCAGCTCGGGGCAGACAAGGGCCTTCCTGCAGAGCCAACAGACAGACAGCCTCGGCCCAGAAGTACCACAGTTTGTTCAAGGCATCCACGTGTGGTACCTCTGCCCCAGCAGCACAAGAACTAAGACAGAATCTGATGCTGAAAGAACAGGTGCGGACACACCACAGACGTGGTCTTCGCACTGGGTGATGGGTCCAGGCTGGGTGCCTGACTGCAGAAGCCTTGATGGCCTTAAAGAGACAGTTGTAGATTTAGGACTGTCTTTAAGGCAGTTTTGGTGAGGGCACAACAGGAAGTGAGGACAGAGACAAAGAGGGAGTCTCTATTGTGTTAGAGACTACATACTACATACAGCATGTTGCTAGAAATGTGGCCGGTAATTGAGTTTCCGATGAGGCATACAGAGAAAAGGATGAACATAAGACTGGACACAAGGAAGGGCAGTGCTTTTTGTGGCAAAGAACGCATCTGAATGACGTTCAAATGTGTGGTGGAAGGTGGACAAAAATATGAGCGAAAAGAGACGGACTTAAACAGAACTTAAGTTTTGGAAGAGTCTGTTGTACAAATGAAGAATGTTCTACACAAAAAAAGAACATGGATCTAAGCAACTACCGCAGCAGACCGTCTGTGAGCTCAGACGAAAGGGGACACAGGACTAAAGAGGGCCTCCTCTGGGACTCCACAGGCTGGAAACAAACCTGCTGTTCGCAGAAAAGCAACAGACGTCCCTGGAGCAAGCTGGAAGGCCAGCAGAGTAAGACTTCCAACAGGCCCTTCTTCAAAGAGCTCAACCTTCACCAACCTGGCCCCAGAGTCAGAAGTGCTGGGGGGATGGGGCTGCTGGGCACCACATCCGAGGGGCAGGAGAATCGGGCCTGCCAGGGCAGAGGGGAGGAGGTTGTACAAAACCATGTGAGACCATGTCTGACCTCCCCTGCCTTCACAAGGGGGAAAGAATCAAACTCAAAATCAGCCCACGGTTGAGACCTAGGAAGCGGACATCACACATGCCTCCGCCCCACAACCTTCCTTACCTATCAGACACCAGCCATTCCTCCTGCAGCATCCTCTGCTTGGCCACACGGAAGCTATGCCAATGCTCATGATGATGGGCTTATCAGGGGCATGAACGGGGTACAATTCAGGAACAAAACCAACTCCGGACACAGCCTCCTGTCTGCCGCACTCTTGTCTTCAGCCTCTCAGCCATGAGACTCCTTTGGCCTCTGCCCTGCTCCAGCACAAGTTACAAAGAAAAGCTCCCAAGGCAACCATCAGCTAGGAAAATTGATGCTTACAGTTTTCTGGGACTCTCAAGGGCCAATATTGGCACACTGTCAGGAAAAAGGTTCAACATCAACAGTGCTCCTTACAGTGAGATGCTCACTGCAGAGCTGAAGCCTAAACATCAGATTAAACAGAGGCCTGCTTTCCAAGGACGCTGTGATCTGGCATGACAATGCACGTTCACACACCTCCGCCTACACTGTTGACACTAGGCAAAAACTTCCTTTTGAGGTATTAAAGCATCCTCCCTGTAGTCCTGATCTTGGTCCATTGGACTTGCACTTGTTTGGTCCCCTAAAGTCAGCCCTTCAAGGATGAAGATTCACCTCTGATGAAGAAGTGAAGACAGCGGTGCATTCACAGTTCAGCCTAAAACACTTTTTAAATAAGGGAAGACAAAAGTCTGTTGACAGATGGATAAAGCGTATTGAAAAGCAAGGAGATTATATCAACAAAGTTTATATTTGTCTTTTCTAAAAGTATATTAAAATAAATTCTACAGGCAGAGTGAGGAGAATTTCCTCTGATCCGAGAGAGCATCATACTATTGAAGGAGGCAGTATCTGTCTACAGGGAAGTCACCGGAAACCTAGGGGCCTCCACCCAGAGCCAGAGGGTGGGGCCACTCCTCAGACAGGTCTCAGATAATTTTCCAGCCTTGAGAGCTACTGTTAATTGTCCTGCTGGGTTTGGGACTTGCCTGGTTTGGCACCACTCTTCCCCTCCAGTTCCTGCCATTTGTGATGGAAATGTCTACCTTGTGCCCTCCCACCATTGAACACAGGAGTCAGACAACTTGGGGAATTCTGCCCCAGGTTGAAATAAAGTCTCACCCACATTTGGTTGAGATGATGCAGAAGAGTTGATTTCAGATTTTTGTGACAATGTGGTGGGTGAAGGTGTTTAGCACATAGGAAGGGCATTAATTGGAGGGGGGCAAAGAATAGAATGTTACCAATTGAATTGTTGTTGTTGTTAAGTGCCGTACCGTAGAGTCAGTTCTGATCCATAGCGACCTTGTATAGGGTTTCTGAGAAGTGGCTGGTGATCTTGAACCACTGACCTTGTGGTTCAAACCAACTTTGCAATTCAGCGCATTAACCCACAGCGCCACACCAGATGGTCCATGGATTGTAGTCTCTCAAAACTATGCATTGTAAATCCTAACCTTTCCGACTGTGGTTGGGAACGGCTGTCTTGGTTACATTCATGGGCAGGATTCACATTAAGATGTGTCTTTAGTCAATGTCTTTGGAGACATAACTTTAGCAAGCAGAGCCCGGGAGAGAGATATAACAGGAAGGTTACCCAGGAGCAGACGTTCAGAAGAGACAAGGTCCCAACAGGGAGAGAAAGCCTTCGCTGAGTCTGCATTCTGAATTCGGACTTCTAGTCTCCTGGCCTGGGAGAGACTGCATTTCCCTCCACGTGCTATCTGTCCCAGCAGTACCCCAGCGATCCCCTCCGATCCCACATCAACAGGTCTCTCACCAGCACAAACCACAGCTGCTCCCAGGGTCTCACCACCCCAGGGTGGGGGACGGATGGGACACACACAGAAAGAGCGGCCCTTTCTCTGCATGTTGTTGTTAAGTGCCACTGAGTCGGTTCCTACTCATAGCGACCCTGTATAGGGTTTCCCAGGAGAGGCTGGTGAGTTTGAACTGCCAACCTTGCTCTGCCCAGGGGCTGAGCATCCACAGAAGACACTGCAGGCTTCCATGCCAGCACAAAGGTCCCATACTGTCCTGTATTGGATCTGGACATGTGTACCCAAGGAGGGTTCGCACTTATTTCTCTTCCTCGTGGGGCACACGCAGAAACTGGAATCACCTAGGGCACAGGTGAGAAGCCTCACCGGCAGCTCCGTGGCAGAATCAAACAGCCCCGTCTTCTCCCCACACTGGACAGACTATAAAACAAGGCCTGAGTCTCAGCAAGGTGACCATGAGGCAGATGGACCGGCGGCAGAGACCACAGGAGAGCAATCTGGTCAGCCCAGACAGCAGGCCAGATGCAACTGCCCCCTCCCCC